TAACTGGAATTCCTGAATAGGAAGAGACAAAGGAAAGTACAGAAAGGTAGTTGAAGAGCTGTTGGAAGAAAATTTCCCTAGCATCATAAATGACAAGAAGATATTCATTAAAGAAGCTGAACAAACCCCAAACAGTACAGGCCATGAAAGAAAATCATCAATACATACCATAATCAAACTCTCCAAAATCAAAGACACGGAAAGAATCCTGCAAACAACTAGGGAAGAATGAAAAGTTACCTACTCAAAGGAGAGCCAATAAGATTAAGCTCTGACTTCTCAGCAGACATCATGCAAGCAAGAAGGAAATAGGGAGGTAATACAAAATTCTGAAAGAAAAATATTGCCAACCCAAAATCATACAACCAGTAAAAATCGTCCCTCAAGTATGACAGTGAAATTAGAACATTTCCAGATAAGTTAAAATTAAAGGAATTTGTGAAAACCAGACCAACTTTACATTCAGGCAGCCAACAGACATATGAAAAAATGTTCACAGTCATTAGCCATTGTTGTTGATAAGTGCCATAGAGTTGATTCTTACCCATAGTGACCCTGTAGAGGGTTTCCAAGGAGCAACTGGTAAGCTTGAACCACTGACCTTGCAGTCCAAACGACTTTGCTGTCTGACGCATTAGTCCACAGTGCCACACCATTGTTGTTATTATGTGCCGTGGAGTCGGTTCCGACTCATAGTGACCCTGTACAGAATTTCTGAGGCTGTAAATCTTTATGGGAGCAGAAAGCCTCATCTTTCTCCCATGGAACAGCTGGTAGTTTCCAACTGCTGACTTTGCGGTTTGCAGCCCAATTTGTAACAACTACACTACCAGAGCTCCTTTAGCTACACCATTAGAGAGATGTAAATCAAAACAACAATTAAATGTCATCTCACACCAGCTTTAATAGCAAAGTTAAAAAAAACAACAATTGCTGGTGAGACTGTAAAATTGTTCAACCACTGTGGAAAATGGTATGGTGCTTCCTCATAAAGTTGGAAATAGAAATACCATTAGACCCAGGAATCACTCTAATTGGCATATATCCATGAGAAATAGACCCAGGGCACAAGTAGGTATATGCACACCAATGCTCATTGCAGTACTGCTTACAATAGCAAAAATATGGAGACAGACTAAATGCCCATCAACGGAAAAGTAGATAAAATTTACATACACACAATGGGATACTATGCAATGTTGAAGAATAATTATGTATATGTGAAACACCTCATAACACGAATGAACATGGAAGACAGTATGCTGAATGAATTAAGTCAACCACAAAAGGACAAATATTGTATGAGACCATTATTGTAAAAACTCAAGAAAAGGTTTCCATACTAAAAGAAACTTCTTTGATAGTTACCAGCATCAGAGGGAAGGGAGAGTAATTCTCTGGTTAAAGGATTTGTTGTTGTTGTTAAGTGTTGTCAAGTTGATTCTGACTCATAGTGACCCTGCATAGGATTTCCAAGGAGCAGATGGTGGCTAAAGGGTAGATGCATGCTAACTTGGGTGACAGGAAGGACAATATGTACGAAAGGGGAATGTATTAGACAAGAAGAGGGAGATTGGCAGAAGAATGATGAAATAGGTGAAGACACATGGAAGTATGCAAGTGTTATAAAGGATAGAGGTAAATTGTGAAATGTACACAACCTTGGAACAACAGTGTTCTTTGTGTAGATAAATGTACAGAGACACAGCTGAATGAGTATGGAGGAAGAATGGGACATCTATATATCCCATTGCTTTTGTTTTGTTCTTGTCCACCATCTTTATACTCTCTATACATATATACATGTGTTGTTGTTGTTAAGTGTCATTGAGTCAGTTCCTATCATAGTGACTGTATAGGGTTTCCAAGGAGTGA